ACAAACTGTAAGCTAATGCTTAGTGAGTCCCCCAAAGCATACCCCACACACAATCCACATAACACATATCACATTAGCCATAAAGCTACATATATCACATAAGCCATGCATACAAACATATAAGGATGCCATGGGCTCCTCCCAAGGTCTTACTCCAGGATGTCATGGGCTCCCCCACATCGTCTTACACCTAAGTGCCATGGGCTCCCCCCATGGTCTTTAGCTGGAAAGCCATGGGCTCCCCTACATGGTCTTACATCCAAGTGCCATGAGCTCCCCCATGGTCTTTACTTGAAAAGCCATGGGCTCCCCCACATGGTCTTACATCCAAGTGTCATGGGCTCCTCCCATGGTCTTCCCTGCAAGTATCACATATATAGGTAGCATATCACCAAGCATATCTAACTATCATACCACATATCTCTACAAAACAAGTATACCACATATCATAAAATGGGCCGGCCTTGGTTCCTTAGACCCATTGGTATGGTGAGAAGATTCACCTCTCGAATGTTGAACTGACAATCTAAGATCAAATATATCCCACTCGCTGCTCCAACTCAACTGCCTATAATCATTATTTGATTAACTTGTAACAATCCCGAAATACTATAAATACCCTCAAAGTCAACCCTGGTCAAAGTCAAGGTCCACAGTCAAGGTCAACAGTCCATGTTGACCTCAACTCGTCGAGTGCATCCAGCAACTCGTCAATTTAGCTGCATAACTTGTCAACTCGCCGAGTTACCTTAGTAACTCATCAATTTCATCAAATGTCCAGAAAACCTCAAGTCCATTCAGACCAAAACCCTAATCCTTCACTGTACTCATTCAGAAATGCAAAAACGGGCAAACCCTACCCCGACTCGTCGAGTCAACTAAGGGACTCGACGAGTTCCTTCAGTCCCTTTCATGTTCAGCCCTTTCCAGTTGGATCTAAGGTCCCAAACTTTAGATCTAACCTCCCCTAGTGCAGATACCACGTAAAGTTGCAAACTTTACGTGCATGCAAGGCCTTCCAAGGCTATAAAATCAAAACTAAGCTTCCTACAAGGTTTTAGTGCATGGAAAGGGCCTAAGCTGGATAAAGTGAGCAACTTTATGTCATTGGGGACCTAGAGAGGTCCAGATCTGGAACCATATCCTTGTGATAAATCCAGATCCGAGTATGACCTCATTTTGCACCCAAAAGTGACCATATCCTTCCATGAAATGAGATCTAAGCAATTAGAGATCAAGGTGGTAACTTTTTACCTCTAAATGGATGCTCACAACCAGTAGATGCTGGATCCTAAGCCTTCTCCTCTCTTCAAGCTCCTCAACCTTCAAGTTTCCTTCTTCAAAGGCTCAAATTTCACTCTCTAAGACTCACATACACTCAAGGAAGCTAAAATATGCGGGTAGGGTTTCTTTCTGGGTTGTAAGGACGGTGAGGGAGGCTACAAATGAGCCATAAGTCCTTTAAATAGGGTGCAAACCACTGAAAATTAGGGTTTCTCTCTACAATGCCTACTCGTCGAGTCGCGGCCTTCCGACTCGTCGAGTAGCATCCAAATCCCGCGTCCCCTAATAGTCTCTACTCGACGAGTTGGAGCACCCCAACTCGCCGAGTCCATGCACAAAATCCTAAAACTTAGATAAATTAAATAATACTTGGAACAGGTGTTGCACCACAACTCGACGTCGGCCAGCGATTCACGTCTTCGTCGGCGGTGACGTTGGCTCGGTGGTTCACGGCAGCAACACGGAGGCGGTGGCGGCTAGAGGAGTGGAGTGATAAGGTGTAGGCTGAAGAAGCGATGCTAGGGTTAGGGTTTGAGTGTATCAGGTGTATAAGAGATGAATGGAATGGAGGGGTGACGGGTTTAATTCCCCGTCTCCAACTCAAAACTTAAGTCCACTTTTGACACTTCCAGCCCCTCCAGCCACAAACATTTTCAGATTAGACTCATTATTTACCAAACAGCCCTTGCTTCGCGAATTTATTTACATTTCAAGTCCAAAAGTTACAATTTAACCCCCAATATTCAAGAATATAACTTTTTACACCCCAATGTGTACACCCTACTAATTAATACGACTTTAGGGGTAGAAATAAAATATAAAATACATTTCGGAGTTTTAGGGTTTATTATTTATTTATTTTATTTATCTATCTTATTTATTTTCTTATTTAATTTATTTTATTTATACACTTATTTTAAACGGAATGTTACAAACGCACGCCTCCAACCAGCGACATTCCAGACCAACAAACATATGTTGTAGTTTCCTTTTATATGATTATGCCAAGTGTCAACATCTTAGTGGTTTTTTTCTTTTTATTTATCTAATTAGTTTTTTTAAGAAAAATTGTAAATAAAAAAAAATCTGAAATACCAAAGTTCTTAAAATAAAATTCTCTACAAAATGAGTATAAATATGATAATTTAAAAAAATACATATTTTTTGATTTTCTTTTATAGAAACAATTTTTTGTTCAAAAAAATCATGAATATTTAAATTATACATCTACTCACTGTACTAATAAGTTTATAAAAAAAATAAAATAGTTTTTAAGTGTACTTTTTTAAGGAAAGACAAAGTAGTCTCTTGTACCGACCGAACCCTCAGTTCGGAGGTCTTCGAATGGAAATTTTTCTTCTTCAGATTAAAAAAAACAAATAAACAAGTTATCAATCTTATTATTTTAGTAATAATAATGAGTTTGAAAAGAAAATTTGTTTATATATATATATATATATATATATATATATATATATATATATATATGAATCCAAGTTCAAAACTAAGACCTTAAAATTTTTGTTTTTGAAATCAATAATTATTTTAAAAGGTTTGTTATATATCATATATTTTAAGTTTTTTCAATATAACTTTTAAAAAATATGGTTGTTTAGCTATCAAAATTTATTTTAAAAGATTACAATTTTAAGGAAATTAAAAATTATATGATCCAAAATTAGATAATTCAAAAAAGTTATGATTCAATAAGTTTATGATCTTTAATTTGTTATGATCCAAAATTACGATTATCCAAATATGTTATAATCCTTAAATCGTGTCTTTTATAATTTAAAGTAAATTGATAAAAAAATATAATGATTTAAATTTTGTTATGTCAAAAAACTTGATTTAATTTAATATATTATGATCCAAAAATAATATATTCTGAAATATTATGAATCAAAAAAGTATAATCCAAACTCTTATAATCCAAAAATACTATGATCCAAAACTTATGAACACATATTTCGATGTTTTTTAATTAAAAATATTTCGATATAGTTTACAATTATGTAATTTAAAATGTTGTGACACAATTTAAAATTATATAAATCAAAATGATAAGATTCTTAATAACTTGAAATTCAAAATTTATATACTTTTTTTTATATCTTATAAAATATAAATAATAAAGTCTAATGTCTATTTTCTTCCAAATATTTGTACATACAAAAAAATAAAGATAAAATCATTGTTAAATGAAATCGTAAATAATGAACCACATTCTTATATATATATTAAAGATGACCAACTTATTGAATAGTGAACTTCCTAATTTTTTTGCAAAAATGGTCCATAGGATTTCATATTTTGAGTTGTTCAGATTTTTGGCACTAAAGTTTATGGTATTGACAATTTGGTCCCTACACGTGTTGATCATCGTTTGGATTTATCCCTTCTGGATCCTTCCACCGCCTCCTTATCCAATATCCTTTTTCATCTTTGTCTACTGATTTCGTCAAATGTGCGGTGTTTCTCATCTAAAGTGGACAAGATTTATCACCGGAGAAGCCACCCGACTTTCTTCTCCAGGTGCTTATAAGAAGATTCAAGTTTGAGAGTCTTCAAGCTATTCTTGGAAGTATAAAAGCCTCAGACCCAGTTCTACTCGGACATTCCTTCTCCTATCATTGGTTGTGGTGTTGATGGGTAAACAAAGAGGCACCGTAGCAGTGACGGGCGCCGGTGGAGGGGGTCTGCCAGTTCCCACCGCCTCTCTTATCAGGTTCACCTCCATCGACCTTTCCTTCCCCTTTCTCTGCAATCGATTTGGTTTCTTATTCTAAAATTGTCAACACCGCCGTCGCTCACGCTTCAGCTCTCATCTTTACCCAGCTAATCACCAGACGTAAGCTCCTAACCACCATCGGCGAGACCCTAGGAACGAGAATTGTGAGGTAGCGTCACATGTCCTCATTCCGATTCTCCAGTCACTGCCTCCACTGCATGTAAACTTCTTCTACATATTTTCATTGTTTCACCTTTGAAAAAGTTCTTACATTTTTAATTTTAACAGAAGAGGATGGTGGTGTTTCCTACAGTGAGAAAAGGTAAGTTTTCTTGCGAAGCTGTTTTTCATTATCTGATTTTTATTCTTTCTTTCCTGGATTTTGACTGATTTACAACCATGCTTGGATTTTTTTAATGGCAAGATTACCATTTTCTTACTGCACACAACGTGTTCGACAAAATGCCACATTGAAGATTTTCTTCATTGATTGCCTTTAATTGTCAGGTTTGTATTTGTCTATTTTGTG